TGTGATGATTTTTCAAAAATATATTTGACGTGATGGCCGGGTAAAAGTAGGATATAACAAGTACTCCCTACGTCCCAAAAAGTTTGTTACGTTTAGAAAAAACTGCGTCTCGTAAAGTCCGTTACATTTCTATTAAAAAAATCACTTTTGCCCTTTACTTTTTCATATCCTACCTATCACATCATACCTTTTTTCTAATAATCTACTCATCACATCTTACTTTTACACATCACATCAAGGGTATTTTTGGAAAGTCAATACCAAAATATCCTTTTCTTAATTTCCTAAAAAGTCAAACCGTCTCATTCTTTTTGGGACGGAGGGAGTATATTGTTAGTGAATAGACATGAAACTTTTTTGAGCGAAGTAAACAGACATGATAGAATAAATAAAGTAAGAATTAGTGGAACAAAAGTAATTTTTTAATAGAAAATGAAAAAATTAGAAAAAAATTATTAAAAATAATACATTAAAAGCATATTTCAATACCAATTGTTTGGTATAGTTTTATATTTAAGTTTATTGTATAAAAATTATACAGGGCATAAAGGAACGTTTGACACGTAAAACGAAATGGAGAGTAAAAAGGATTGGAGGGAGTAATTTATTTAACGCCTAGTAATTTTTAAGATAATTGGCATGAAATTAAAAAATACAGCGTACAATGCAGAGTTTAAATTTATATAAATTTTACGCGTAAAATTTTAAGTTAATGACAAACATGATTGACTGTAGATTATTCACTTTATAAAACGCGCTCTCTCCTGTCTATTGTGTTCAACTTGAATGATTACCAAACTCAAAAAGTATAAACTCAATTTAAATGTTTAAAAAATTATTGAAAAATAAAAAACACGAAAATAAAATTTACTGAGAGAAGAGCTAAATGTTACTTCGATTAGCCACTCATTTATTTTTTTAAATACTCCGTAAAAAAAGGTCTGAATGTATTTAAAAAGTGAGAGCTTTATTTGTATACATACGAAATATACTCCATTAAAAAAATTGATAAATGATATTTTAGAAATTACTCTAAATAGGACAAAAACATAGAAAAAAGTATCAAAATAGGAATTCTATATTATTATTCTCGAAATAGGACTTCATATTTTTAAAACCATATTTTATAATTAATCTATAAATATTAATTTTTTATCATAATACAATACAGAGTACATTTTTTTCACACTCTGTATTTTAGTCCAAATTTTAAAAATATTCACCAAGAAGAAAAATAATTAAATGAGAAAAAAATTTGGGATGAGAGAGAGTGTAACTGTAATTTGATGTAGAGGAGAAAATACCCAGAAAATCGGTGAGGACACGGCCGTCGGAGAAGCGGCCGGAGGGCTTGCCGGGAAAGGTGGAGCCGTACGGCGGCTTCCAAGAAGAGGCGTTGGCTTTCATCTTGTTCCCCGTGTCCGCATATGAATCCCCGAACACAAACAACAACAGTTTCTGGCCGCTCCCGCCATTGTTTTCCCGATCCGGTGAATGGTTTTTTACCGCGGCGGTGAGGATGAAGAAGCAGATGAAAAGGAGGAGGGAGGCGTGGTAAAAATGGGATTTACTGAGCAACTTCTTCATCATCCTGTCGTGGATGAAATAATATTATTGCGCATCTCTCTGTCGGATATTATATATACACACTTCTACTTTAAAGTTTGGGTTTAAATTTTTTTTTTTGAGTGGATAAATTGTAATCATCAAAAGCTCTTAGTTTGTACATACAGCATATTACTCCCTAATGCAAATAAATTAAATTTTAAAAATTATCAAACAAATAAATCTAATTAAATCATTTTATTCTAATATACAATTCCTTTATCCCATAAAAATATTCTAATTTTAAGTTTTAAAAAAATTAAGGGAAAGACTATTTTGTGTTGACTTTCCAAAAATATTTTTGATGTGACGGATAAAAATAGGATGTGATAGGTTAATTATTAGTAAAAAAAAAGTATAATGTGATAGGTAGATTAAAAACTAATATGGGCAAAATCAATTTTTTAATAAAAAAAATATTGTGGGACAAGAAAAAAAGAAATGAGGAGTTTTTGGGACGGAGTAGCATTAAAATTTTTATTTAATTGAAATCTAAAATTTATGTTTTGATTTATTCATTTTCCTACTTAATTTTATTTCTTTCCATGTTTTGTCTTTCCAAATAAAGCGGTCAATATGCCTCGTAAGAAAAGTTTAATGCTCCTTTTGACCCAAAAATACCATTGGAATTTAAGATATGTGAATGCTCCGATGTGGACTCTCTTACTCGATTCGCCCCTAATTTATTTGACTACAACTTAAGGTTTACTAGAAAAGATATCTCACTTTTAAAATCATTTTATTTATAAATCGGTACATCAATAAAAAAAATAAACATTATATATTAAAAAACTTCATTAAAAGTTCTACAAAATAAGAGGTGACAAAAATATTTTATTTTATTAAATACTTAATGAAATCGCTTAAATAAACAAAAGTTATCGAGAAGAGAGAAAAATAATTGTAATCAAAATGGGGACATAGAGAGCATGTTTTTTCCAATACATAATTTTGACAATTAATATCTCCATTATTATATAAATATTGAATACAAAAGTATGATATTTTGAAACTGTGTTTTGAATTGAATCTATCAATAATAGCTTAATGTTACGACAATTGAATGTACGTATTTTTTTCATAATTTGTAATTAAAGTTTAAAAGAGTACGTTGATCATATAGTTCAAAATAAGAAAAAAAATACGGAGTGTAGGTACGATGTACGAAGTACTCCGTATAATTTAGGCATTACTTTCTTCAAATGATTAATTACCTGAATAGCACTAAAACATAATATGTTTTTTAAAATAGCATCATATGTTTTTATTTTCCAATGTAATACTTTTAACCGTTATCTATTAGTCATTATTCAAGTAAATATTCACCATCACTGAACATTATTTATTCTATTCTTCTTCACATTATTAAGTGTTATTTATGAAATAAAAAGATTTAAATTCTAAAATAGAAAATGATTTATGTTTTAGTGCTATTCGGTGCAAATATTTCAAAACCATACAATTTTTTTTAGCCAGTCACCAACCAAGAAACACAAACATTCCGTTACACAATGGATGTCCTTTTTTGCAGAAATGAAGAATTATTCTTTGTTTTATAAAATTTATTTTATTTAAAAAATATTATATAAATAAAAAAATAAACTTATATATTTAAAAATACATCAAAATTTCTCTAAACAAAATATGATAAAATTATTTTATTTAATCAAATAAATAAAAAAAAGCATATATAAACAAAAACTAGCATGAATTTTAAACATTAAACATGGGCATCCAAATCTGATATCCGAAGTAGATTCTTAAATTGATTGTTTTAAATTTTTTTATATTTATATTGTTTTCATACATAAACGTAAATTGAAATATTTCACTTGATTTAAAAAATACAGTAGCTTTTAAATTTTCAATTATACCGTTCACATTTTTGTGCCGCTCGAATAATGGAACTGTGGAGTAAATTGAAAAGCCCACACAATCTAAGTCCGCATTTTATTGACAAGAAAAGCCCATACACGTTTAGCCCAAGGCAGTCATTATGTGAAGTTGAGCTCGTTTCAACAATTATTACTCTGTAATAAAGCCCACGACATAATCTTTTCATTTTTCAATAGTTTTAAAATTATTGAAATGAACTTATAAAATTAATTTCAGGAGTACTAATATTAATATTTAATATTAAATGATATTAAAGTAATATTTGAATGCAAGCATTTTATTTACATTTTTTTATAGCTTTGATAATTATTTAGACAAACCTAATATGACTCTCTTTCTTTTTCATTTCCATCTTCATTATTTTTCAGTGATTTAGAAATACATACACAATATAGAATGACTTTTATGTGCACGCAAAAAGAAATTTAAACCAATTGGAAACTTCACAAACACCAAATTAGAGCCCAACATGGGCCACACTAACGTCTACATATCGATTTACTCCCACCGTCCAACAATAATGTTTTCGTTGCGCGTTACAAATTTTCACTGAAGTTATTTTGAATTCATTTTATATGAAAAATTGTATGAAATTAAAAAAATAAAAATTACATATTTAAAAACTACATGAAAAGATCTATAAAACTAGAAGTGACATTATTGTATTATTTAATCAATTGGATAACGAAAATACGCCAACAAAGTAAATAAAGTTTGACCCTGTGAATAGTAAACGAAAACAATATTGTTGGACAAAGGGAGTAAATACCCAGAAGTAATTAGTAGCTAGGTTAATAATTAGGAGTATAAGTATATTTTAATTAAAAGTGGAAGTACACGCTTTATGAGAAGAGTAAACATTGAAAATGAGATTATCTTGAAGAAAAACATTATAAATAAGAGTAAAACATAGAAAAAATACTAAAATAAAAGTTCCATCTTTTTATCCCCAAAATAAGAACTTGCACTGTGATAATGTGACATTGTATATAGACATTTCAGAACAGTTTTTGGCAATCTATATGCCCGTGATTATCACTGTATATGCATTTTAACTCTTATTTCGAAAATAAAAATATGAAAGATCCATTTTGATATATTTTTAATATTTACTCCTACCTTTGAAACGAGTTGTGTATTACTCCCTCCGTGCCATTTTATAACGCCTGTTTCGGCTTACCATGTTTGACTGAAATTATTTTCAAATCATTTTATATGACATGTGGTATATAGTTAAAAAATACTACCTCCGTCCCATTTTAAATTGCATGTTTGCCTTTTTTCTCCGGTCCAAAATAAGTTGCTTGTTAGTTGTTTTCGTAAACTTTTAAAAATAAAATACCTAAACTATCTCTAAAATAAGTCAATTTTCTCTACATTATATTCTCATTCATCATCATCTCTCCTAAAAAGTATTGACAATTTCAGAAAATCAACTCTATTTTTAATTTTCCTTAAATATGCTCAAAAATCAAAACGGACGATTTAAAACGGGACGGAGGGAGTAAAAAAATTTCTTACGACTATATAGTACTCTCTTCGTCCTAGTGTATTTGTATAATTCGACTTTTTTCGAGTCAAACTAGATAAAGTTTGAGCTTCAATTTAAATTTCTCCTGCTATTTTGTGGCCGGCAGGCGAAAGCGGTGATAGATGGAAGAGACAATAAACAAACTAGAGGTTGTAGAAAGGAGTAATCTTGAGAACCAATCCCGGGAAAACATCGTCGGGGTCATGAATATGTGGGTTCTCCTCCACGATGAACGGATCCCCGCACTTTTCGCTTATCGTCTGCAGCGTCTCCCCTTCCCGCACCACGTAAATCTCGTCGCACCGCCCTTTCCCCGCCGCCTCGGGAACTGTCTCCGGCGCCGTCTCGCCGCCGCATATGCTCAGAAGCAGCAGTAGCGCCACGGCCAGGGCGCAGTACCACGACACCTTCTCCGCCAACTCCGCCGCTGCATGCGTGGATGACGACGTGGAAACTCGCGACATGCCTATGATATTTGTATATATGGTCTTCGTAACAGCGACATACAACTATTATTATTATTATTATTAAGTGTAAAATATTTAATGTTATGATATGTTTTTTTTTGTTCTAGTTGAGGTTGTCATGTAGTCATGTATTTATAGGATTTGCACTTGGGGATTAGGAGACATTAATAAATTACTCTCTCCGTTCCAGAATTATCTTTCTGTTTATTTTTTAATATTTTTTGATGCAAAATTTTGATTATTAAGATCTCTAGTTATATATAGTTTTATTTTATAAAAACTTAATATTTTTAAATTTTATTTCAAAATAAATTTATTGATATTAAATTTATATTATAACATAATATATTTTTCAATATTTTATAGCTAATTAAAATTAAATAGACGAAGAAAAATCAAACAAGAAAATAATTTTGAGAGGGGAACGAGTAGAAGCTAGTTTTTCAACGTATGTACTATGTTAGTTGTTGGAGTGGGAGGAAGTTAAACAAAATAAGTTAGTCGTAATAATAATTGTCAATTCCTCAACAAGAAATTATATATTGTAAGCTAAGTGATCAAACCAAACCACCCACAGAGGCATATCATAGCTAGCGGTTGCAATTGAGAAATTTACCTAAATATGATTAAAACATAATAACTTTTCCAATATAGAACCATATGTTTTTATTTTCCAATGTAAGACTTTTGGTCATTATCAACTAGTCATTATTCAAGTAAATGTCCATCATTACTGGACATTATTTCTCCTACTAGGTCATTATTAAGTCTTATTTAGGGAATAAAAAAGTTTAAGTCCTACATTAGGAAAATCATTATGTTTTAGTCCTATTTTGTACAAATTTTACGTTGCAATTTAGTACTCCGAATAGTTAAAGCTATTCTAAAATAAAGTTTTAATAAATATATATTACAACATTTATTTATTTAAAATTGTTCTATATATTTACTATTTCAATTTAATAATCAATGTTTGCAACGGTTTGATCAAAATGATTAATTAAACTAACAAGATTTTTTGAGATGGAGAGAATGTACTCCGATCCCTGCGTTTCAATAAATCATTCCTATGACGATTTTTAGTCAAAATAAGGAATAAAAATTTATGGTTGACTTTCTAATTTTGTATTTGAGATGATGGACAAAAATAAGATGTCATGGATAGATTATTAGTGAAAAATATGATGTGATAGGTAGAGTAACAAAAAAGTATGTGTAAAAGTCAGTTTTCAATAAAAACTAGAAGTGTTTTAGAGAAAAAAAATAAAAATAAAAGAGAAAGTATTTTAAGAAATGAATGAAATATGTATGAGTTAAAAATGTTATGAAAAACAACATAAATAAATAAATATCTCACCTTAATTAATATATGTTCGTTTCCGCCCAAACACTCAAAATAATTAATAACGTAACAGGCATTGGGTTGATGATAATGACTTGAATTGCTAGTTTAACTACTCATCTATATTTTCCGTGACCATATAACCATATATATGGATATTCACTTGCTTTCAAGTTTTAATATATTGATGTCTTTTATTTTTATTTGGAAAAAATGTTGCTTTAATTAATTTAGAAATGTCAATGATCTTATATAACACTATTACACATAATCTGTATTTGTTGGGATTTTTTTTCCTTGAATATCTATGAGCCATTATTAGCGATGTCTAACTTTTATGGGCCTGTTTGAAAATAGCGTAAGAGATTAATATTAACGTTTTAAAAAAAGTATCTACGGGTAACATTTAGCGATATAATTTTCATGTAACGTTAAAATTTTATCCAAAACGCTTACACTAATCGGTAACGTATTCCCAAATGGGTCCTGTATCATATGTGAATGTGACATAACTTTTTCTTTGATCGGACGAACAACCAACCAAGAAATCCCACTAACACTTTGGGTTTGACATTTGTTGTTTCCCGGTGCTATAGGTTGCATTTATTGTAAATTAGAAATCCCACTAACACTTTGGGTTTGACATTTGTTGTTTCGATCTGAAGGCTTGTTTGACCTTTTCAATTCTCTACCAATAACAAAATGACGTTTCAATTACTTTTAACAAAGAATAGTGTGTTTGATACTTCGTATTACCAAAGTAGCTCCCGTTCTAAAAAATACTTTCTTTTCCGATCGATTGTTTTACTTCCAACAAAATACTCTCACATTCAATTAAAAAACCACTTTAATTTTTACTTTTTCCAACTCTATCTATCACATTATACTTTTTTCTAATAATTTTTCCATCACATCTTATTTTTACCCATCACATCAAAGGCAAAATTGGAAGTTAACTATAACTTAACACTTCTTTATTTTTACACCTAAACAAACTAGAACTCTTTTTTAGAACCGAAGGGTACATTTTTAGTAAATAAATTTGAAATCTAATACTCGGTATGATTGTTAGTGACAAGAGAGTGATGGCCGAGAGAGTGGATGGCTGATAGTGGGAAGTGGCCTGGGCCAAAGCTAAGGTTTGATTATATAAATCATATTTTATTATATAAAATATTAAAATTATACTCCGGCTATTTTGTTTGAGTTCCTACATTAGAAAATAAAAAAGAATACCACTAGCGTATTCAGAAGAGTGAAACCCTACCTATTAGCCCTACCTATGGATAATCTTTTATATTGTAGACTAATTTTTAATATATTGAAAATAATGTTACCACTTAATAACTTTTTTTGAAATGCTAAATATAGTTGTCAAATATGCACAATGTTTGCACAATTGCACATGTTCGTTCTATAAGACTATATGTATAGTAGTGTCTCAATCACCAGCGCTCACTTCCAAATCAGCAGTCACTTAGTGCAACATCAGTGGTGACTGTAGTCAAAAGATAATTAATTAAAAACGAGTACACTTATGTATTACTTAAATTAAGAAAAAAAGAAAGGAAAACATGATTAAAAACATGGTAGAAATAAAAAAATATTGTAACACCTCATCCTGTGTAACTCGAACCAACGTGTTAATAAATCGGATTACTATTAATTTGGTATTCACATACACAATTTTCAAAAATATTTAAAAATAAAACATTCATAAAATAAAATAAAAAATAACCATAGTATTACCACTAACTTTTACAGGGTATAATTTAATATAAAATGTCAAATTGAAAAAACACATGTGTGAAATTGAAATCAAGAAAGGAGATACCTGGTTAAGCGTTGGGCCGTCGGTCCCAAATAGACAGTTGCCCTATACCATAGTTGGCCCAAACGTATTAATGATATGTTTGGGAACATGGATTTGGATTTCAAATCTGGATTTGGCTCAAATTCCATGTTTGGGAAACTTAAGCATTTGGAATTTGGATTTGAATCAAATTCTTTACATTCAAAACAAAGCTTAATTTGAAATCCATGCACCTCTCCTTGTCATTTGAAATTCAGGATTTCAAATTTTGGAATTGAAATGCATGAATTGAAATGAAATGCTAGTTGCCAAACACTACCTAAAAGAATTATGTGGGCCGTTTGGTGTCATTTTGTATTCAAGATATTTACCAACAATCGGGCAGGCTCCGGCCCTGACGAAGCCAGAATTATTTATAAGCAAAATCCGAAATTAAATTAGTTTTTTTTTGGGTGTGGAAATTACATTATCTAAGATAAATAACAAATTGAGTCTTTCAAAAAAAGAATTTGAGATTAAAATGAACAAACTTTACACAGTCCATGGAGTATGAAGTCATAAGTTTGATAATTATAGTTTTTTTTTGTTGGGTTAATGAGGGTAATACCTAGGACATTATAATGTGATATATGAAATATCAAATCAGAGATGTAATTACTCGAGGAATTAAGGATTGGTGTCTCAATGAAATCCCAATTACTATTCCCTTCGTCCCTCTATTTTTGCGACACATAACAATTAATCTTTTAGAGTGTACATAACACTTAATTAAATAAACTAAAATTGTGTAATTGATATTAATCTAAAAAACAAATAAGGTAAAATTATAATAGAAGTAAACCATATAAATATGACTAAATATGGCACGTGACGAAGCAAAAAACACATATAGTAAAATAAAAAATTAAAACGATCTTTGAACATTAAGTTAGTAATCATGAAAGTGTAAACATGGATTCTGGTCAGGATTAACACCAAATTATTGCCCATTTTTTGTGGGCTATTGGGTCTGACCCGAATCACATGACTTAAAGAAGGTATACTCATATCAACCCACCCAAGCAGGCTAGTTCGTTCCTCAGGCTTTTATGTCCAAAAATCTTACTAAGATATTAAGAACAAAACACATCAAATAAAACACAGCTTTTAAATGAATGCACATTTCATGTCATACACTCATACATGACAAATATGAAATGCAAACTAATACAATAATTTTCAATTGACAATAAGTTATAAATACTAGTTATACAAACTAGCATTTGTCTCCAAAATATGAATGACATGTTTCATTTTTGAAATAAGATTGTTGTAGTATTATAATGTGACATTGTTTATTGGAATTTTTCAGTACTTCCTAGTACTTGGTATTATTTGTTAGCATTATAGGTTCCATTTTGAGATAAATGAAGATTATATTTTGATTCTTTTTATACTTTTTATTCAAATTTTAGTTTTTTCTCTCGCACTCTTTTCGTCCAAAAAAAAACTCCTAATTACTATTCACAAGTCAAACTAACTTTACTTTCTATATACATTTTCATCGATCATTCGACAAAATAAAAAAAAACTGTTCACCACTTATTTTGTAGAATTTTTTTTATTTTTTATTATATTTTTTGATTTTAATCCTACACCAAATTTTACTTATATTGATTCAAAAATAACTCTAACGAAATATTATTAGCATGTGACACTTTTTTTTTTGAAAAGGAGTTGTTCCGCTAGACCGAACGGGTGATCCTTAAATCTCATATCCATCCATGTTAATTTCGGGTCCAACCTTGCCCGTCCATATGAACAATTGTTGTAGCTCATATCTGCCCATTTTCAGTGCGGGTTGGATGAGTCGAACCTAAGACTCTTATTTGGACAAATCTAATACGGAGTACTACTCCTTTTCTTTGGAAATGTTGTTAACATTAGACTCTTCACGATTTCTAATATTACACTTTGTTCATTAACATTTATATTTATGCATAAATAAATATTAAAGATATTTGATATTCAATAAGAATATGTTGATATTAAATTTATATCATAAAAAAAAAATTATATATCGGAATCAAAGTTTTCAAATTTTGAGAAAAAAAAATCAAATGAGAAGATCATTCTTCGAGCCACATTGAGATTTGCCCTAAGCCCCATAAACATGAATTTTGCACTCATCATGTTTGTTTCACCATTTGATCTTTAATTAGTAAAATTTGCACTAAATAGGACTAAAATATAATAACTTTCCTAATCTAGGACTTAAACTTTTTTATTCCTTAAATAGGACTTATTAATGTCTTGGTGGGAGAAATAATGTCCAGTAATGATGGACATTTACTTGAATAATGACTAATTCATAATGACCAAAAGTTCTACATTGGGAAATAAAAACATATGGTCTTATATTGGGAAAGTCATTATATTTTAGTCCTATTTAAGTAAATTACTCCTTTAATTAACCCTCGTTTTAATAATTACGGAAGACAAGTGTACAACATTGGAAGTTTTATAAAGAATTGTGCACCTTTTTAAGAATTCAAACCCAATTTTTTTGGGCAACATGTTGTGTTTTTTATTTATATTTATTGCCCGGTGATTATGCACTAGCTAGCATATTTTCAAGCTTTTTTTTAATGTCAATTTCTTACCTATGTAAATGCCTATGTGTGAAAATATTCTTGAAAAACTGTTTTCCCCATAAATTTCTTCTAGTCCATCCCCCCCCCCCACCCCCACCCCCCAAAAAAACATTTTACTTTTGATTTTTTTATTAGAAATAACGACACTATTTTTTGTTTATCAAAATCTTGCCATATTTATGAGGTAAACTTTTTCACTTAAGATTTGGCAAGTCCTAAAGTGGATCTTAGATATTCCATTCGTGCCACAAAATCTTTTTTTATGTTGACTTTAAAAGAGGTTAGGGGGAGAATAATATTAGAGACTAGCGTTAGCGTTTTGAAAAGTTAATTTACAGACAGTGTTTAGCATTCTTAGAATAATCTACACCGTTGAAATTTTATTCAAAAGGCTAATGCTAATCTTAAACACTATTCCCAAATAGGTTTTATATCAATAAGCTTTTGTAGATTTCATATAGATATATTAACATTCTTATTACTTACACTTAGATCTTCATAGATTCTAAACTATTTAAATGGAATGGACCTAAACTTTTAAATTCTACTAGCATCTAGTATAATTTGAGTATTACTCCCTTCCTCTACCAAAGATCTTCTTATTGCGCGTTACGAGATTTGGTCACCTTTATTTTTAATTCAATTTATTTGATTATAAGGGTAAAATTTAAAAATAAAA